TTTTTTTTTTTTTTTCCAACTACAAGGTAACTGCCACCTTTACACCAAGCTGCTTTGATTTCCTTATACCCAGGTCCCTTGGCTAAAAAGAGGGCCTGTCCACACATGACTTACTAGTCTGATGGGGATCTGCCTGTTCCTTTCTAAGCTATCTAACATTGCAATACTATTTGATTTCTCCCTTGTGTAGGAAAGATGGGCTTGTTAACCTGATAACTCTCCTTGTAAAACTCTATATACTGACACTGTTAAAATAAATCACTGACATAAATATTAAGACAAAGGATTTGCTATTTCCAAGAGAAAGTTCTGCTATGGTGGAAACGCTCTCCACCTGCACGGTTTGGTGATAGTCACTAGTTACAAACGACCAGTAAGTCCCTGAAACATACTAGTGCCACTGAGAAACTCATCTTAGATTTCATTTAATTTTAATGAATTACAAATTCAAATAGTCTCCGGTGCTTGGTGGCTACCATATTATACAGCACAGGTCTCAATACACTGAAAAAAAAATTTTTCTAGAAGCATAAAGATAATGATTGAATGATATTACATAGTCTTATCTCCAGAAAATGCTGTGACTCGTTCTCTAGGTCTTAAGACTGCCGTTTTATTCTCGTGAAAAGTTCAGTACTGTGGTCTAACACACCTGCCTCTAGCTCCCCCTGTAGGATAATCTAGTCATGTACACTTCAGCGATTATGAGTTGTTTCATTAAATTTAGCCTAAGATGATTATACTCATACCTCAACAAACAAAAACACCGTATATAAACACAGAAAATCCTAACCCCCAAATCTCTATCAAGGAGACAGCACTTTCCAGTATCACTCAGAATCATTCTGGATCAATACTGGGGTGGCTCCTGTAGTCATTATTAACCAGCGAGCTGAGAGCTGTGACTAGGCTGCATGAACAAGATGATCACTGTCAGATCTGTATTATCCCCAGGAGCAGAGCAACTGATTATGGTGTATTTCTTCATAAATAGAGAAAAAAGGAAAACACACACACATAAATCAACATTCAGTAGGCCCCTCATACTAATCAGTCTTAGGTACATAGATCATTTGCTGACCTCAATTTCGTATTTCAAATTCTACTAGCCTGTATAATGCTGCCCATAAAACTCTCATTTGGCTATAAGGTCCACACTTCCCTCTTTATTTCCGTCATTAGCACCAGTATTTGATTTTTTTTTCCACACACGAAACATGCGTTTTGTTTTTGTAGGTTTTTTTGTTTCATGAGCATCAATGTGTACATGCCAAAAAGAAAAACAAAACAAACCACAGTCGCCATGAAACACCGCTGGCCAGCTAGCTAGACTCATTTAACTAGTTCAGAGCTCAGCAGCTCTGCCCAGTGCCCTGAATTCAAAACAAGTCCTCGTTGTCTGGGTCAAACGCTCAAGCGTCTCTCGGTGACTGCCAAGGACCCAGAGTAATCTGCATGGAGAACAGGCCTGGGGTGTAAAGGAGGAATCCAGATCGCTGGCTTTCGTTGGGCAAGCCTTCCTTAAAGAGGTTTTCTGGAACCACATCTTGAAGAGAAGAATGTGGACCATCAAAGAGAAGAGGCGAAAAGATTCTCTTACAAGATGAACGATTGTGAAGTTAGACTGCGGACACAGCAAGCTGCGGGAACAACCTGCACGCTATGCTTACCGTTGCACATACAGTACTACGACAGTGTGCTATGCTTACAGGTGCCCGTACGGTAGTGAGACACCGCACGCTACGCTTACAGGGGCACGTACGGCAGTGAGGCACTGCATGCAACGCTTACAGGTGTACATATGGTAGACACCGCGTGCTGCGCTTGCAGGGGCGCGTACGGCAGTGAGACACCGCGTGCCGCGTTTGCAGGGGTGCGTACGGCAGTGAGACACCGCGTGCCGCGCTTGCAGGGGCGCGGACGGCAGCAAGACACCGCGTGCCACGCTTGCAGGGGCGCGTACGGCAGTGAGACACCGCGTGCTGTGCTTACAGGCGCACACACGGTAACAAGGCAATGTCTAGATAAGAGTCCACAGGATTAGAAGATGACTTAGAACATGAGAAGAGAGCCACAGATACCAAAATCAAGTTTATTACAAGTTTCATGGAACGCTAATTAAGCCGTAGAAAAACACAATCCTATGACCCTCCCAGAACTCACCAACTTTATAGTGTACACATCCTTCCAAATCGCCTACAGTTGTCCATCCCTGCTTCTTCTCAACTTCTGGATCATTGTGAAGTATTTTATTTCTTAACCAGGACAAATAGTAGACCCGTAACTTATCCTTTTTGCCTAGCAAAATAAATATAAATATTTTAAACGCACATTTAAAATAAGGTATCATCTTTAGTAACAGTAGAGAATAAAGAACTCACGCTTATTGAAACAGATGGTATCAATAAACCACAAAGGAATACAAATAGCTGAACAATAATATAACCAATACAGTTTATAACATGCTTTCACATCTATTATCTCATCTGATTTTCAAAACCCTTTATAGTAGCTATTAACTCTCATTTGACAGATGAGGAAACAAAGCACAAAAAGCTTCAATAAACCACCCATGCAGGGACTCAAATCTAGCAGAAGGCGAGCAACGAACTGGAGATAAAGGCAGCTTAAGCAAAGGACTCACATCTGGAATATGTACAGAACTCCTGTATTAGAGAGAGAGACAACCCAACAGAAAAACTGGGCAAGGCAACCAGAACAGGTGCTTCACGAAAGAAGATTCCCACCGAGACAGAAAAAGGTGCTTGATTTCAACAATCAGTAGGGATGTGCATATTAAAACCATAAGATATAACTTCATACACCTACCAGAAGGTCCAGTTACCAAAGCTAGGTGTGAACTAGGGTTGTGAACTGTTAGAGCCACTTTGAAAGGCTTGGTATTATCCATTAAAGCTGGATATTTATACAGACTATGTATGACGCGGTCATTTCTCTCCTAACAGAAATGTGTGCATATGAGCCCCCAAATGCATGAACAGGAACATACCTGGCAGCACTGCTCAGAACAGCCCCAAACAGGAAGTAACACAAGTATGTATCAACAGTAAAATGAGTAAATGAATTGTGATGTAGTCATATATACGAATAAAAAGGAATAAACCCTACCTATAAGTAACAAAAAATACGTAACGCTGAGCAAAAGAACACGTCTATTTATATAAATTCAGTTCAACAAAGGTAAAATCAATCTAAGGCATTCAACTTCAGGACAGAGGTTCCCTGTGGGGGGTGGGAGGGGTGAGGGGATGGCTGCAAGGCAGATTGTGAGCTTCTGGGTGCTGGGAATGCCAGTTCTTCACCTGGGGGAGGGGCACTACATAGATGTGTTCATTTTGTGATCGTTCAGTCAACTACACACATACAATCTGCGCACCTTTAGTGTGTGTCTTATACTTCAATACAACTTTTTTTTAAGTTTTGAGAAGGTTTTTAAAGTGGGAGAATGTTCATTGTAATATGTTAAGAAAAAGGAAGGCTACATAACTTTCCGCATAGTGTTTTATTCCGATATCGGGAGGTAGACTTATAGAAGAGAATATACCAAGATGTTAACAATAGTTATCTGTGAAATAGAAAACGCATTTTCGTTTTATTCTTCTGATTTTTTTTTCTATTTTTGAACATTCCTATCAATATGTATTACTTTTATAGTCGTGAAGAACATTAAAGGTATTAAAGTGGGAAAGAATGCAAAGAAGCAGATTGACAAATTCTCTGTGGCATCAGCTGATTACTGCCCCTCACCAAGTCAATTCCGACTCATAGTGATCCTATAGGACAGAGTAGAACTGCCCCATAGGGTTTCCAAGGAGCGGCTGGTAGATTTGAACTGCTGACCTTTTGGTTATCACTGGTAGCTCTTAACCACTGAGCCTTATAATTTTGCATACCCTTTGACCCAGCAATAATATAAATTACTAGAAAATTATGATCTATGCAACACGGGTATGCCCAAAGGTTAAGTAACCTACAAGGACATTTATTCAAAATGTTTATCTAAGGAAAAAAAAATGGGATAAATCTAAACACTAATAACAAGAGACAAGTGAATAAATTTTAAGAAATCTATTTAAGAAAACATTCCGTAGCCATGTGAACTGGTTATCGTGGAGGAGCATTTAATGGCATGGAGAAAGCAGGCGACGTGGGTACACAGGAACGCAGTACAAGATGGAAACCGGCGCGGGAATGACACATCCCAACCTTTGGGTGGTGGTCACCATGGGCGGGTGGACAGGGGCGAGGACGCTAACTGTATTTTCAACAGTATACTTTAACATTTGTTAAAACTACCAGAAGCACATGGGTGTCATGGTGTTCTCTTTATGTCTGAAATACTGTGTAGCCACCCCTCCCTGCAGAGCTCCCTCTCAGTGTGCACTGAGGTGTGGTGTGTGTCTGAGACATTAGCAGCAATCTTCCCGAGTTGCTCTTCTGCACTAGTATCTTCCTTTCTACAATCAGCACACTTATAATAAGAAAAATGCTGTTTTTAAAAAAGAATAAACTTATACCAAGGGTGAATTGTTTCAAGAACAAACACATAACATGGTACTTTTACAATCACAGTGTAGCTCCTTCTGCATGTAAAAGGCCTGTGTCAAAGGTGGGACCTTACCAAGACCCTGAAGGAGCCCGATTAAACCCAACAAGCAACGGGCGGCAGGGAGCCGCAGCCTCACATGCGTAGCGCAGCGGTGGGGTGTGCGAGACCTGTCAACTAGAAAACGTGCGTACACTTTTCAAGGCTGCTCTTCAGAAGAGCCAGCGTTTAAGCATGTATGTGTGCGTCATACCGGAATACAACTTCCCATCGCATTATTATAAAATCATCTTACAGCTGTATATCATGTAACCAAACATTAGAGAATGAGCTAGATGAAGTTTATCTCTGCAAAACCACTCTATTTTTTTACACACCCATGTAGACATATTCCTAAAACATTCTAGACTCTGCTTTACCAAACAAGCACCAAGAAAGCACCTTACCAGATATTGTCACCAAGACGTTCAAGCCTTCAAGCACATCCATTTGTTGAAACCGTCTTCGGTTGATGAGAGGGTATACCTTTCCTTGGCCACTTCTGTCCAGCAGCATCAGGCCACTCTCTGTACCCACCAACAAATTCACTCCTGCGGGAAGAACACAAACAGGCTGACGTGGGACGTTCTGCTCGGCGAATACCCTGGCTGCGCGGGAAAGATGACTTGGAGAAGATGGGTTTTCTTTTTTTTTTTTTGAATTTTTTTTTTTTTTAATTGTGCTTCAGG